CCCCCCCCCCCCCCCCGTGCACAGCGAAGCAAGGTTCGGGGCGGGGAGTAATCTCTTAGACCTCGGCAAGGCGGGTGGTGGGACTCCGGCAAGGCGGTTGGTGGCACTTGATTGTGTTACATTGAAGACATTGCAGAGATACGTACTCTTACCTGAAGCACAATTTTCATGTGAACCAACAAAGAGAGGTCGTGTTGCTTTCTCTGAGTTATTCCTAGACCAAGGGTTGGCTGTGCAGCAGCAGTACTTTGGTATTCACGGCATGGAAGTTTCCGTTTTTTCTTCCCGTGGTGTTGAATTGAAACGTTGGAATGTTGGAATGCACCATAGCTGGCAAAACAACGATTTGGGCCAAGTATTTCCTTCGCAGTTTGATTGCACAGACCATGGACGGTAAACTTTTTGGGTAACGGGTCAAACGTGTCATGGAAACCTTGTCAATATTTCATGTATGTGCAAGTCCGATGCCTTATAGCAAGTATTCGAACGCATGCACAGCTGTACAGCACTATAACGCACAGCAGTTAGCATCAAAGGCGTCATATCCATGAAAAATCGTGCTTTTTGGGTGTAGGCCGCCCGCGATTGCCCTGACCACTGTGTGGCCTCATGACACTAGTCAGCTCTTTGCTCAGCTTGAAAGTGCCAACGATCTAGCGACACCTCGCGGTGGGTACCAGTAGCTAGCGCAGCGTGTTTTGGGTGCTCGAGACTTGTAAATGTGTGGGAAAGGTTGAGCCCATGTGTCGTGCTGTCTTGCAGCATCGAAACCAGCCGTCGTTGGCATGAAAAGTTTAGTTCTCGGCTACTGCAGGTGGGTCTGGGGACGGATGTGGCGGGAGGTTACAGCGCTTCCATGCTGGACTGCATCCGCCAGACTATGATCGCAACAAACATTTGCGGGATGAAACCAGATGAAGATGGTGTCACATGGAAGCCTTTGAGGTGTGCACTGCTGCGTGTGTACTATGGGAAAATACACAGAAGACATCTCGGTAGCATGGATGTAAATGGAGGGTTCTCTTCCTTTGAATCGACTCCTTGGCAATGCTAAGGTGACGTACCCTATAAAAGGAGTCAGGAGTTGAGTGTGAAAATACCTGGTAATGAGGAATGTAACAAGAGCCTTTCCAGAAGAGAACATTGGTCGTTGGCCTAGTTCACGCGATTACTGTGTTAAGTCCGTCGTGATATGGGAGCGTGTTTTGTTTGTTTTTGCTTTCGCCGTATGACTAGTTCTGCCTCCCGTTAAAATTGGCGCATTAGCCTGCCAGGCACGTTTTGATTTATTGCCCAAACGTGGTGGAAACTTCGTAAATATTGTGCAAACAACGATCTACGGGATAAGAGCCTTCGTCGGGTGTATGCCGTAATAATTGTCACTTTCCAGCTACCAGGAGGCGTTCCACCTTGCTACCTTGGGCGGGGCAGAGGCGCTGGGTCTGCAGAAGGTGGTTGGAAACTTCGTTGCCGGAAAACAGGTGCCCTCATACCTCATGCATCATAAGCTATCAGGTGCCTTTATGCACTATTAATACTGGCCTGACATATTGCGTATCGATGACTGTTTGCCTAGTCCACGGGGGGGGTGTACTCATAGTCGTGCATGCCGTAGTCGTTAGACCATTGACCTCGCATCCCTACAAAGCCGGGACGGAGCACGCCGGGTTCTCACCGGACCAGGCTCTCACATCACCAAGCGCGAAGCGCCGTGAGATATTCGGCGAGTCGCATGAAGGGTGCGCTGCATCCTGCTAAGGGTGTTCGGCATCTTGTGCTTACTTCCTTGCGTACGGATGACAGCTGCGTATGAATTAATTTATTTTCTGGTGCTTTCACTTCCAGAGACAGTTGTAAGCACTGTGTAACTGCCTCGAGGGTGCTTGACCATTTTAACACAACGTGGTGCGATCATCCCCCTTGCGCGGAGTGAGGGTTCTCCACCCCGCACAACATGATCCACTCGACCACCATTATGGTTTCCGCCAAAAGAAAAACAGAGGTAAAAAAACAAAACGGTAACCTGGTTGCCGAGCTCACGAAGTGAATTGGCTTGTTTCACAACGTCGTTGCCAAGCGACGGAACCCCAACCCCGATGGGTAAACACCGGGGGGGACGAGTTCATTGGGGAGGGAAAAATCGTTTTTACAGTCTACGGTAAGAAATACCATCGCACACGCCCACAGACAAGCCGTGTTGTGGTTTTGCCGGCCCAGATTTTCAGATCCGTGTCGATGGCTGACACGGACTTGCGCGCACGTAGTGTCGAGGAACAAGGCATGTTTGTGGTCTTTGAAAAAGTCCGTGTTTGAGCTTTCGCGCATGCACCCTAACCCTAACCCTAACCCTAACCCTAACCCTAACCCTAACCTTAACCCTAAGCCCGTTGTGATTGTGGGGGACGTGGTTCTGTGAGTACCTCTTGAGGCTCGAATTGGGTCGTGACCTTCGATGGTATGATCGCTTCGTTAAACTCCGTGGGTTGTTGATGTACGTGTGTTCGATGCTGTTGCGAGCAACGCTACCGATTGTTCGATCGCCTTTATGCCACCCGACGCTTTCTGTATGTCGGGCTTGTCGGCCGGTCTCGTTCGATTTGCGGTGTCGGTGTGTGTATTTGTATTAGCTCCGTGCCTTTACTTTCGGCGTCCGACATTTGTCTGGACGCTGCACTTCTTGTGCGTTTCGGAGCATTTTTGTCTTACACCCGTATTGTTTGCCCCTGTCCTTACTACGTTCGTTCGGCTTGGTCTTGCATGGGCCTTATGACTCTGGACAACGCGGCTTTCGCAGTTCGACGCTCTGGTGGTGAACCCTTCTCCGGGGGAGGATACAGACGCAGACGGCGGCATCGGAGGAGGGACAGTCCCGAACACCGCTGTCGACGGGCCGTTCGACTTGTTCCCCGAGCTGGGCCAGGGACTGCAGACCGCCTTCGAGAAGTTCATTTTCATGGGGGACGACAGGAACATCGAGCGGGTGTACGTCGCCGGAAACAGAGTAGTTTAGACTTCCTCGTCGTTGGCAAGGCGGTTTTGCCCGGACTGGAGGCTCTACTGCTTCCACCACTGCGCCGTGTAGCCTTGTTCGCAACGTCTCGGGCTCTAACCTGGACCAACACCGCCTTGGTATGTCAACATCCATAGTCTCCGGTACTGGGCTCAACACCGGACGTATTGCTTGGCCTGCTGAGCATAGACAGGGTGACCTAGTTCTTATGCGATGTTCATTGGGCGTCGACACGTTCGGTCTTCGCGGCACGTGTGACAGGCTGCTGGGGCACGATCGCGTGTGTGTGCTGTGTGCTAACGGAACAGTGGGTACTGCCGCTGTCGGCGTTGCCTTTGAAGGTCGTCGTGTTTGGCCCCCGCAGGCGGGAGGTCGGGCATGACATAGATCGGGGGCGTGTGAAGGCACTAGGCTTTAAAATGCAAGCCAGCCCGGAACGCTTGCACCAATCACAAAAGCTCCTTTTCCTCAGTCTGTTGAAGCGACACTCAGAACCTTTTCCGCCGCTCTTTCGTCGGCATTTATTTGTGCTGTTTTTGTTAGTGTTGGAGGTCTGTGTTGATAACTGGGCAGCAGCAGCTGCCTGGCAGGCCTCACGGATTCACCAACGTATTGATATTAATATTTTGGTGTTATGCATGCGAACATTTTGTTGCTGTTCCGCTGGACGAGTTATGCGTAATCGGGTATCCGTTAGTGAAGAAAAACGTTTTCTCGCTCCCTGCTTGACTACTGTACAAGCATGACCACCGATGCATTCGATGGTAGGGTTTGGACGAAGTTATGCTACTGCTTCAGGCGCGCATGGATTTTTCATTTTTCAGGAGGCTTAGTCAAGATGTTTATTACGCGCCAATGTTGTTCCTCCGAAGATTTTGTCAAATCGCAAGCTTGTCCACCCATGCCGAAATGCGAGCCTGTTTCCACCATTGCTGCAGCAGTGAAGCGCGCATGAGGTTGCACTGGGGGAGCGGTCCATTTGCCCTGAGATGAAGTCGGGAGCGGGGGAGGTAAATTTGTTCGTTTTTCTCCACTCCGCGAGGCCGCTACGGCATGTAAAAAGTATTCGGGTTCGGGGGGGAACATTTTAGGTAGTCCTTTTGATTGCAGTTATGTGCTTGTTTCATGTGCCTGTTGATGGCGCGGCTATTTTCGTTCCGTCTGTGTGTGTGCGCGACAAACGTCCGTTTGCGCATGGAATTGGTAGGTGGCGCTGGTAGGTCTATTTATGGTCATCATATGGGCGAATTGGCCCATCTACTGCGACCTACATGTGTTTGGGAGTGTTTTCTGGCCTTACGGGCCGCAGGATGACGTGTCAATAGCATCATGCCGAGCAAGGACTTGATACGGTAGACTCCCGACAACGAGCGAAAATCCCATTTGTCCACGTGAAGAATGATTGGACGGCGTTGAGTGTTGGAGCTCTTCGATAAGTGAACTTCGATAGTCAGGGGAGCCACCAGCGGCACCTTCTCTTCGGGTGAACGTTCTACCAGTACCCGCAGAGCGTTTCGCCCTATAACAACGGTGAGGTACGGAGGTACAAGCGTATTGTTGCGTCTTTACCTCGAACGATATTCGATGTTGAAGGTGCTAACGCCGAATGACTACAATACGCGTGTGTAGCCCTCACTCGCTCTCCCTCTCCTATGCTCAGTAAAGGCCTCACACTTCCCGAGACTTCGGCAGTTGTTGGTTAGGGCTAGGCCCCACGTCATTGTGGAGAATTCCTTCGGATTGTCATGTTGCGCGGAGTGGTGCTCCCAAGCGTAGCACAAGCCGGCTGCTGCTTCACGCAATGGCACGGCACAACAAGCGTACACCCACGGGAACCGTCCCACCGAATTGTCAAGTATAATCAACGCACGCGCAAAACCCGCCGTACAGGTGCATCGGTGGGTGAGGCTCTCTATTACATGTACCAAAGCATGAGAAGGTTCTCTCGACCACTGTCACGACAGCAAGGCTTTTTTCACTGAAGGTCTGTGGTAGGTGTTGCTACAAATGCACGCAAGCCAGAGAGAACATTAGTAGTTGAAATCGATTGAAGGGATTTGGGATGAGTACGGTCATACGTGCGCGCATTTTTTCCCTGAATCTTCAAAACTTCGACCGGCAACATGGCAGAGCTCTGAAATGTGTAAAACGTGTGAAACAGCGAGTAACCGCAGACTCATTTCGGTTTGTAGGTCACCAGGGATGCAATGAATACAGAGCGTAGGGAGGAAACCAATGCTAGGAACCCGAAAGCCTCGCGCCTGGTTCCGCCTCCAACCTTTCTGTCTGTCTGCCAGTCTGTCTGTCTGTCTCGCTCTCTCTCTCTCTCTCTCTCTCTCTCTTTCTCCCTCTCTCTCTTTCTGCTCACACGTCAGCTGCACCCAGCAGAGAGGAATTCCGACCACTGCTACATTATGTCGCGATCAAGTTCGTACATCCTACTTCACCCCAAACCCTAGAAATACTGGACACCAACCAGAGAAAACCACAAGTACTTCGTGCCATTTTCCGTTCTCCCACCTTCGAAAGAACAGGGGTGGGTGGGCGGGCAAAGACACTACGTTTGTGACCGCGTGTAGTGGGCAGTGCTCCTGCACTTCGTCCTGCCTCGCGCTCTCAAGCGTACCGTCCTACGGCATCTAGGCTGCATACAGTAGGTGTTCTTCCTCACGAATGTCCAATGCCTGGTACGCGAGGTCTACCGTACTCTTCGTGACCTCGGGGTTCCAACAGCAATGCAACACCGGTTGCACAAAAAAACAGCATGCTTAGTCCATTACAATAAGGTTAGCTATTGTAGGTGCACTAAGCACGGTGCACAGCAAGGCGGTTGACCTTGACAAGCACAAAGGTGACCGCCGCAAAGGTGGCAACAATGCGGCAGTTTGTACGAAACACAAACAAAACTCTTAGGAGTCGCCCCAGCAGAGCAGGCACGTGGGGAAGCGACAGCGCAAGGGAGTCCACAAGCCGCGAGATGTCAATCGTCCCCGCTTAAGAACACTAACGCTTCAAACAGGATGGATCGTCCTGCTACCGTAACAATTTCATGGCGCTCACGACCGCTACACCTGCAGCGTGAAGAAGGAAGAGATGCGTCAATATCGCATAAGGACGCCCAGCACCTTCTGCACCTTCTCCAGTGCTCCTTCAACCTGCCAGAGAGGGAGGGGTATGCAGCGATAGATACAACCATTGTGGCACAGTGGTCACACTTCGTCAAGAGTATATGAAGCAATCACGAGTTCCCTAAGTTGGGAAGCGGAATTCACAAGTCTGGAATACCATGCAGAAGCTCGAAAAATCATTTCATGGGGCAGAGTAGGCTCACAGCAGCCCAAGGGACGACCCACTGGGACCACAAAAAAAAAATATGGTCCAATCCGGTCGGTGCTGAATGAGCTCGGCGCAAGGGTGTGGCGCAACAGCATGCCTATCTACATGCTGACCATGCCATGTCCTTCAACCGTTGCGCCCAACATCACAGCAGTGTTAGAACAAACCGCATGCGAAGCAGACACTATGAACACAGTCATGGCAGGTCTGCGTCACAATACTCCTCTCCTCCTAGCAAGCAGGAGCAACGAGGTACACCAACGAAAAAAACTGCATCGACGACCACAACACCAACCGCCTCAAGCAATTTACTAGGTACACCGTACGAACATCATCACCTCGCTGTTAGCAGCGTCACTCAAACCGCCGCGCTCCTTCTGTGTCGACAGCACCTGCTGCTGCTTAGATGGGTCTTGCCAGCCCAGGACCGCCTCCAACGGCAACCGCCACCCGGGCACAGCGCCTTCGATCGCCTCTTCTCCTGCATTACACGTACCACAACGTGCATGAAGAATGAATCGATCGCCCAGGTACAAGCATGTTGTCAAGAGACGGAACGGATTCATGCCTCAAACAGCCGTGAATGGTCGAAACCATGCGAGAGTCGACGACAAAAGCAAGCACACCGTAGACTTTCGGTATCCACACGGTAGTGGCTTTCGGGAGAAACGCTCGATACCCCAACAATGAGGCATAATGATGTTAGTCAAAAATGACCAAGGAAACCGACGAGAATTCGCAAGCGAGCACACCTGCCGCGGGCGGGTGAACGACTGCCCAGGGGCAGAACGAGCGATGTTCCACGGCCAGATCCATCGGCTTCAAAGGAGTCCCACCTCCCGACAGGCGTCTACGCTTGCCACTCCGACCGGACCCCCCCCGACCCCCAGGACTGCTTAGAGCTCCGGGCGATTCCTCCGCACCAGTGCCGGCGGTACAGCCAACCCCTGAGCTGGGCCCTGGTTCCAATGTAAGGAAGTTGTCGGTCACCAGGCGGCGCTTGCACAGGGCGCAGCTGAGCCTTGCTGGGGATTTCGCGGTCGCTCTAGCACGTCCATTGGCAACAGCAACGGTCGATCCGTTGGACGAGCCTTCTGTCGGAGACACAGCAGCACACACGCCTACCGGCACCGTGGCCGGAGCGGATTGCCACCCAAACATGGCGATTGCTGCAGCGGTGCCCAGCATCTCATCCCCAAACCGCAACGTCTCCCGGTTGTCGGCAGAACCGGCCGCATTGCCGCTCCCACTCCTCTGCTTTTTGTGCGCCCCTGCTGTGCGATTTTCCAAAGTCTCCTCACTGGTCACGACGACCGACGCCATAGCCTTGGTACCAGCATCAGTAGCATCGGCGGGAGGTGATCGTGCTTGTGTCCTGAGAGACCTCACCTTGGCGGCAAGTGCCGACAGCCCACCCGGGCAGTGTTGTTCGAACGAGCTCGGCAGGGACACCTCGGGCAGGGTTGCAGCTCTCATGACGGGCAACAGACTGTCCAGTCGTTCCAGAAAGCCTTGAGGGCGGGTGGACACGGCATAATATTACATGGCACGCAGAGTGTGAAGCACGACCACGCATGCACATCAGGGTCAGCCAGAAATAGCGGTCTAAGACAGTGAGCAAGGTGGACGACTTCTTAGGGTCTGGAAGTTCTGGGGGCCTCGTGTAAGTCTCGCACAATCATTTCCCTGGCGATATCTTCGTGGCTGAGCAACTGTGCAGGCACGTCGAGCATAGAGCATTGTGATGCCGTCACGAACCTATCTATATGCAGGCCAGAGCTAAACGAGCTGTCGAATTGTATCACCCAACGTGCACACAAGGTGTAGGAGCAAGCGCGAGGCGTACATGATAAAAAATATCCGTGGTGTAGTCGCGAGAAACGAACCTTGGGTACCACGACTTTCGGACCAACCAACCAACCTTCGACCTCAGCCTTATGCGAGCACGCCCGCAGCGGCCCAAACGCGAGCTGAGGGAAAATACCCCACACCGTGGACCAGTCGCCCCCAGAAGCACGACATATACTGGCTGACAGGAAATCATGAGAAGAAAACTCATTTTGAAGGACAGGTACGAATGCCTGCTTACCTGCCAGCACATCTTCGACCGCCATGGGCGGAAGCTGTAGGAACTCTCTGGGGCAAGCGTTGCCATTCCATGGACATAGGTCGTGGTGCTGGGACTTGAGCCGAGATGAAAACGATGACGAAGGCGTTGGCTCGACGACGGCCACCATATCTACACTATCGCCGCCACAAGCATCGTCATTCGCAGCGTCACCGTTGCCGCCGGTCGCTTGGTCTGCAAAGAGCAGCTGGGCACTGCAGCTGCAGGGAGCAAGCAAGAGTGGTAACAACGCCATACAGACTATATTAAGCCAAACATAACACGCCTTCAACGTGCGTGGTAAAACTAATCTACAGATACCCATGGCTTAAGGTGCGCCCAGTACTGGATGGAAAACGCCTGAGTAGTCGGGTTTCCACCTGCAACTTCGCAAAAAAATGGCATAGCGATGTCGCGGGGGTCGCACACTCAGATGGCTTGACGTTGTTAGTGCCTCCTCCGGAGTAGGGTCCAAGATCGCTTAAATTGAGGCACGTTGGCTGTTCGCCACATTTTCGGTATTGACGCTCTGCAGCCAAGTACTGTGCGTGAAAAGCCTTACTTTCCGCAGCCGAAAATTGGCCCGCTTTCAGAACTGCCTCTTCTCACTCGCGGCTGCATACAGTTGTACACACCTCAACTTTTGGCCCGAGTTTCGACCGGGACCACGGATCTGGTGGAGCTTGCCACCTTCCGGTGGGTGGAAGACAGATGGTGCTTTATCACAGTTGCTGTGTAGTGAGGCTGTGAGAAAATCAATCTCTCCTGAAAGAAGCACACACGTCGATGCCCTGTCACACACCACGCTCTGGTTGCAAAGCCTCGTTCCACAGGTGGCGGACAGGCCAAGTCCCCCAATCAAGTGGTCTTGAATCCTAGACACGAATACCAAGCCGGATTCTGCACCAAGAGGGGTGCCCAATAGACAGAACTCACGTCTACAGCACCGTCGGATGAACGGTGTTTTAAATCTTACGCGTGCGCTCTGTGCACAGCAGTCTACACTGCTAGTTGGTGAGAGACTCCTATTGATCCAGCAGTGAGGCTGCTTACATTGCTGGACAGCCCCGGAACCTTCCCCAAACACGCGCGCCACCGCCCCCAACAACGCGAGCAAAAAAAACACAGACAGCTTTCCCCTCACCACTGGCAAGAAAGGGTGTCCCGTCCAGTGTTGATCCACCCGTAGCGGGCGCATACCGCTGGGGACGCGAAGGCCGGTTTGGAAAACCAGTTGAGCGGTGTGAAGGTCGCCAGCCTGGCCTTGAAGCTCTCGTAGTCCCACGGACGGCAGGTGGGTTTGTCTGCAGACGGAGAGTTGCACCGCGAAGCAGACCGTGTGTATTGATGGTATCCAACACCAGAGGTTTAGCATGGGTAGGTGCCGCACCACTATCATTCAGTTTCACCCCACGCTGTACCCGTTGTGTGCGTGCAGGCAACACAACACCCGCTCGAGGGAGACGCTGGGGTCATCCAGACTACAGGTTAACGGGCGTAGTCTATAGTCTACTCGTGTGTCATCGTGGTGAAATGAGCAAAATATGCGGACTATCGTACTGCTGTAGTTACTCAGAGGCTGAATGGTGAACTTGGTGGAACTCGGCAATAAATGCTGCGGTGGGGCCGCTGCTTTGTCTGCCTATCGACATGTCTCCGGATGAGATCAGACGTGCACCACAGCATCGATCGGAGGAGGGAGGGACGGAGCACCTATCATCATCCAATTGAGTTGAAAATCTGCGGTTCCACACAAGTGTCTCTACGAGTTGTGTACAGCAAAGACCTTATGAACCCTAGTCGTGAAGCACGTACCCGCTAGAGGCCTCGCTCCATCCACCTCTGCTGCAATCCTTTCAAGGACGTCGATTTCGCGGGGGTCTTCTTGCTGTTGCTTGAGCCTGATTGGGTTTGATTGCCTGACTGCAGTGTCAAAACGAGCCAGTGCAGCCGCCACCTTCTCCTCCAGATCTTTCGTCATCCTGCTGTCGACAAACGAACGTCTTCGACAGTCAGGGAAGCTGTCTGCACTCGCGCGGGTGTCTCAGACCGGTGCAGGGCCCGACCGAGACAGAGCGTTTGCTGGCAATCCGGCGCCCCTTTTCGGAGAAACGCGGCGCAATTGACCGTCGTGTTTCGGAGATCACAAATCACGCACCACAGCGTCTCCTATTTCTTGCACATTCAACCTCGTAAAATCGGCTCTCGTATGGCTCGGGAGAGGGAAGGGGACTTTATCGCGGAAGGACGACGCAATCAAGATGGCCACACGAGGAGAATCACTGTGTCACTGGGAAGACTCGACGCTGCTCCACGTGGTCGGTTCGTGTAAATTTTGGTTGGCCTTTTGCACACGACGTTTGCTGCGGATTAGGGCGCACCCTGGGCCGCATTTTGGCTAAATGACGCCCACGAGGAAGATGATGCATTCATGAAACAGTATTTTGTTAGACCATCTCTCGACGAGGCTGTTCAAACGCCGTCATTTTCGGCACCGCCACTTGTTGTACAGCTGCGAAGAAACCGAGCTTTGCAGATCGGTCCACGGGGTGTACTATCTTGTGTCATGCTTTGGTGTTTGAACGTCCTGAATACTGCTGTAGCAGCCGTCGAAGGGGGGGATCAGAGCAAGGTTTTGCAGCTTGTAACTTATGTGCACACCATTATAAACGTGTTTTCGACCCCATAAGGCTGTATCTGTACCTGAACCCTTTTGGGTCTACAGGCTTCCTGAATGATCATTGATTGATCATTTGCAAATGATGTTGTGGCATGCCATGGAGTTGTTACCCTGTATCCCTCCACGCCAGGTGTTGGCAAGTCAATAGGTAGGTGTGTCTTTATTATTCGCATCGACCGCGCTACCCGGTGTTCAATACAAAGACGCCACAGCAGTGCCAGCGGGTAATATCAGTTCTGGAACCGCCAAAATTCGAAACATGCACACTGCTCTAAATGCACATGCCACCATGAATCTCTCGCCATATCCTTCACAGAGGCACACATCAATAGCTCCACATGCATGCCCTTGCCCGAATCTAGGAAGCCACTCAAGGAAAGACAGGATGACAGCGACAAGGGGCACTTCAAGCCCATCCAGGCCAGGATATGATCGTGGCATGCTGCATATCCTCCAAATTTGAACATCGTACACTCCCAAGATCCAGCAGTCAACGTGTCAGCAGCTATACTATACAGCAGCAGCAGTATAGACGAGTCCAACATACAGTAGTAACACATACACTATCATCATAGCCCTACACGAACCGTCGCCCGAACCTAGAGAGCCACTGATGCAAAGGTAGGTGTGTGTGCTGTGGTGTGCCTGCGTGCTTGTGGGATCTGTTGGAAGTCGTAGAGGCAGTCCGGAAGGGAGTAAAAGTAGGGGACACGGAAGCGTCGGTTTCAGGAATGCTGTTTGCAGATGATTTTGTCGGTATGTCGGACACCCCTGAGGGACTGCAACTGCAAATTGACGCGGCGAAGAAGTTTACTGATAAGTGGAGATTGTC